GTTAAGGGGTGGAAAATAGCATGATATGGGTTTCATCTCCAAAATAATATTAGCCATAAATGAAATAAAAGTAAATTTCATAATGGAATATTACTTACCATGTTTTAACATCTTTCCAAGAGTACATTCAGGAATTGAGAGTAAAATCGAATGAATAAAGAAGGTTAGATTTTGTAACAATTGCAAAAGAAAATAAAAACCATACAATTCTGGAAGCATTTTAGAAGAAAATGACTAAGTGTAATTCTAAACCTTATTGAGGTACTTGCAAATGCAAGGATTAAGCATGTTGTCTACTTAGGAAAGACAACATGCAAGTTGCAAGTTTCTGAATTGCACCTGCAAGTTGTTGCAAGTTTCTGAATTGCACCTGCATGATATCATCTTACCTTTAAAAGAGCTAATGATGAGATATAAACTTGTTCTGTTGTATCCACAACTGGTGCATCACTCGGAGGAGCCTAAGGCCAAAGTAAACATATGATCATATCAGATAATTATCTCCCCAGAACATTTAAATGATATGCAGTGATAAGGGTGCTCTAACAAGTCTCAAAATATGCTCAAGAGTAGGAATCAAGATTGACTATTTACAAAAATTAATTTCAAACAACGTGACTTCATTTTTCTTGACTCTAGTCTTCCATTAAACTTTGGCTCGTTGTTTTGTTAACGTAAGTAAATCTCTTGCCAAATAAAGCTAATTAACTTTCCCCGTGTTACCACACAACCGAATTGTTAAATTGTAAACGGTTTGAACGGTTTGAAATCGCATGGTGAACGTCCAGATGAAGAGAGTTCTAAGAAAAATACAGTCGATGGTGTCTAAGACCGGCATTTTGACCCATAATGGGTCAAAATGCCGGTCTTTGACACCATCAACTGTTTTTTTTCTAGAACCTGGGCTGAAGTCAACTTCAGAGTGAAGATTCCCAAAGTTACATTCATCATTTATATAAAGTTAAGCTTACAACACGATCCTTAGTTTTGTCCTAATAGCATAACTTATGCCAACAGCATATTTTCGCAAAATACAGCCGTGGGAAGTGGGTCAAAATCGAGCTTTGTTAAAAAAAATTGTTTCAACGTGTTGAATGAGGATTTGTGAAGCTTCTAAACATCGTTATTTCACGTTACAAAGCGTACGTATCAACAAATAAACAAACCTGCCCGACTCCAGGAATACCACCAGATCCTAGCCGTAATATTCTGTCCATTTTAAGTGAAAAAAAAGAAAAATTCAGTGTCTTCAATGTGAAATGACAATGCAGTTTTCAATATGGCGACTCCACTTTTGATGTGGTGTAACAGTCACATAGTGGTTTGGTTTGATCATAACCGCTGGTATACCGCTGGCTCCTAAAATTCCCAATCGATGCTGAAGCGACGACATATTGGTTGAACATTCTCATCCGAAAACAAAAAATTTAAAAACGATAAATAAATAAACAAAAACAAGCAAAAACTGGAGGAAATATAAAAGCCATCTTGACCTCATACCCCTTTTGGTTAAAACCTTTTAAAATATCAGAAAATTGACAGTGATTAAACAAAGGCGCGGCGCATGCTTAGAAGTGAAAACAGCTATCTTAAAAGCAAGCTTGAATTGATAGTTTTCATATCCCAGAACCGCAAGGCATCAGAGCACATCCTCAATTGAGTTCTTCAAACTAGGGTGGAAGAATCATCAAATATGGGCACGAACACTTCATCCAGGCCTTCCCTGTGGCTGTTGTTACTGTTCACTATTCTTGGAAGCTTTCCGTTTTCTGCCCAAGGTAAGATTAGGGTAACAAAGTGCTTAATTGGGTGTATTTATTTTTACATCGAGACAATTTGATCTAGACTGAAGAGGTTTGCCAAAACCGTCAAACTCAGTAAAAAAACGGCCCACGAAACTGTCAGCCGATTCACATTCCGCTAAGTAAGGAGCACATGATTGGGCAATCCAAGATATTGAAGACAGTAATTGAGAATATGCCCAGGCAACGATTTGGATTTAGCACCAGCAGTGCGGTCCTGCAAGCAAAAATTCTCTCTGATAAGAACTGCATTGTTTGTCATTCGTCAGATATATTTGCTATTCGAGAAATATTTTTGGTTTTTAAAAATTAAACGATACTTTGGAGGATTAACAAAAAATTCAGGGATACGCCCCCTCATGAGGTAAACTCGTACACAATCAATCGCAAAGTAGAAACCATCAAATTTTCTGTAAATAAATACTCTAAGTGTCCTTGGGATTCCTAGGTAATACATTCGAATATTTAAGTAATGATAATGTCCTTTTTTCAAATGCTCATGGATGCTTAGGAAGTCGTTACTTAATTCTAGCACTTACCGCCTGAAACAATCGTTTTATTGCATAAATTGAAGGCAATGGTTTTAAACTAAAAATTAGCTTTTGATTGTGACTAATAAATTTCAAAACATCGAGTTCTCGGCTCACGTACGAAGCCTTTCTTGACAATATTGGGTACCCGCCCCAATTTGGATAGAATCACAATAGAAATGAATGGCATGGTAATTAGTTAAACTGTTAAAGGTGAAATGCAGTTCTACTCACTAAAATTAAAACGTTATTTACAGCTTGACGTAAGACGATGAACCAATTTTGATTCAGGCTAGATACATTAATTTTCCTTCTTTGAGCAATCCGTTTCTAGATACCTAATCGGGAAATCACTTCCGGGTGAAACAAATCACTTCAAAACAAAATGGAGAACAATTTCTATGCAGTAGAAAATGTGCCACGTGGGAAATATCAGTGCTCTACAGATTGTTTATGTAAGAAAGTTTAATGCCCTCTCCGTTAATTCTGAGAAAGCAGATCGATTGAACACTGATAAAGAAAGTCTAGCGTGACACATATATTTATTTATTTATTTATGGATTCGTACATTATCAGTGATATGTTCATTTTTTGTTTGCAAATCAATGATTGTGTGGTGTTGAAGCAGGCTCGATTTACTGATAAAAGCACCATCTAGATAAGCTTGCGTAACCTAAACATTCGTTAATAGTCTGCAGAACCCGTGCGAATTTTTTGCGTTTTCAGGCCAACGAAGGCAAGCGCAAGGTGAGCTTGAAGTGCGATTCGCTTGCGAGGGTTTCCTGCAAGCTCCTTCTTCAAAGACACGTTTGACATAAATGTGTTAAGACCAATAGACTTTAATTTTAAAAGAGGATGGTTTTTGATGCCTGATAGTATGAGGTTAGACCCTGGAAACGAATATGATGTCCTAGTCAACAAAGGGAGAGGAAAATATTCTGCCTGTAAAGGTAGTTTTGGGCCAAACGATTTTGCCTCTGAACACCCTCTTTTAAACAAACAATTAAAGCACGAAACAAGGTCAGCAGCCTAAGCCATAAGAGTTCAAGCTGAACCCTTCCCCTCCTTCAAACACTCCCTCCCCCCCTCCGTTACTGTCATCTCCGCTACTACAGTCAGTATCTAAATAAAGTCATCTCACTCAGGAACTCCTCTCCAAGCGGGGAATCTAAACATATCAAAGACCTTACAGGACTGGAGTTGTAGCAGTGGGTGTTCACCATCTTCTCATTGTCGGTTGCCACGCTGTACAAACGTTGTGTTTCCCAATGCTTTTAGTGGCTCAGGGAAGGTAAGGGTAAAACAAGCTTTGATGGGGAAGGAGGGTTTGAAGTTCGATCAAGGTAAGAGGCGGGTGGTCGTAGAGTGTGAGATAGACGAAAAGAGGCTGTAGAGCGAAATCAAAGGAAGCTTTAAAAAGAACATTTTCTCAAAGTGTGCCATAGCCTGAGGGTCATGACTGTACAATTTTTGTCATCAGTGAGTTTCTTTTTTTCATTTATGAAATCTTCGTTACACCTCAGACCAAAAAGCTCTGCTCGTGTGGGAATCGTTTTTTGGTCATTTGACGGAGGCCGTATAAGAAAAGGTTCTTTCAGAACCACCACAACGGCTTTTTTTAGAGCCA